TCTGCACCTATCAATCAGTTACTCTGCAATTCCCCTTTCCCCAGCCCCTGGCGACCACCAATCTGCTCTCCATCTCTATGGGTTTAGAAGCGCGTGCATTTTGACATCTTTCTTTTGGGTCTGCTTTTCCTGAGATTAGCTGGATGACTCTATCAACCATCACCAAAGGGTTCTTTTCAATATTTTTATTTCATTTTATTTTTTGTAGATACGGGGTCTCACTATGTTGTCCAGGCTGATCTTGCACACCTGGGCTCAAGTGATCCTTCCATCTTGGCCTCCCAAAGTGTTGGGATTACAGGCATGAGTTACCATGTCTGGCCGACCGAAGGCTTCTGATATCCTCCATAGATCAAATATTTCTTGATAATTCAAAGTGATTGTAGTATGTGGTGGAATTTTTAGGCAGGAACCAGGAATTACTAACTTTCAGTAACCATCTTTCAGTTGCCACGACTGTATGACCTCAGAGCCACAATCATCTGTCAGGCAACAGGCACTTAGTGAGATCCCTGTCTGCTGTCACAACACAGAGGTAGGTACCACTGAAAAATGGAAAGAGATGTGCGTGGTACAGTGGAAAATCCACCCAAAGTGGATGCCTGCCTGTTCTGATGCCAATTTGCTGTGCATTCTCAGACAAATTACTTAGCTTCCCTGGGCCTCCGTTTTTTTCATCCTTAAGATGAGTGATGACATATTATTTATGCAAATTGTAAAACAATAAAAAAAAATCAAGTGTTAGAATAGGTAACCTTTAAGTTTCCTTTGATGTTAAATTACGAGGCTTAGTTCTTGCCTCTGTGGGGCTTTACCTACTATGAGGAAAACAAAACAAATAAATGTAGAAAAAAAAATAAAAGAATCAGTACCAAGCTGTGGTGCAGTGACTTGGAGACTCTAGGGGACCAGAGAAGGGAGGGGAGGGTATGTGCCCTGTGAGGGAAGGGCTGTGAACCAAAACTGATGGGATAGTTTTTACAAAGGGCTCTATGAGAAATGGACATGAGCAGGATGTGCCAGTGCGACTGTGTGCGTGTGTGTGCGCGCGTGTGTGCGTGTGTGCGTGCATGTGTGTGCGCATGTGCGTGAGTGTGTGTGTGAGTGTGTATGCGTGTGTCATTGTTTAGTGGGGAGGACTGCTTAAGATTAAAAGACGTTCAGGAAACATATCTACCAAACGCAATGTGTGAAGCTTGTTTAAATCATGATTTGAACAAACCAACTGTAAAATAGACATCTTTGGAACAATTGGGGGAATTTGAATATGGATTGCGTATTCAATGGCCATAAGGAAGTTTTGCTCATGTTGTTAGGTGTGTTAATTTGTGAACATGGGTGTGAACAACTAAATATGCCTGTTATGTAAGAAAATGTCCTTATTTTTCAGAGATACATGCTGAAATCATTTAGCAACATTATGATGCCTGAGATTTTTTTGCCACAAAAATAAAAATAGATGAAACAAATGTGGCAGAATGGTAATCATTGTTAAAGCTAAGAGATGGGTGTTTGGGTTTTTCTTGTATGGTTTGTATGAGTCAGGATCCAACCAGGAGACAACGACCACTGGAGTCTTGAAAAAGAAGGACTGTGAGACAGAGCATTGGTTACACAGTGGATGGGAGACGGAGCAGCCAAACACACAACCCTGAAATTAGTGTCAGATGTGACAACCCCGGGCTGGGGGGGCAAGTGGCGAGCAGGGGCTGTGGTACAGGGGCAAGGCAGAAACCACAGCAGGCCTTTTGTGAGAGGCAGGAGCCATGGCGGAACCACAGCTGCAGCAGAGACACTACCTGAGGTAGAAAGCGAGGGAAAACCTTGGCTTGTCCCATGCTCCCCGCTCCCGGTCTCTCGCGAGTGCTCCCGGCTGGCCAAGCCCAATATCCAACCAAAACGAAGTCATCAGGGTCAGCGCCACACAATGCAAGCGGAGGAGGGGAGGGGCGAGGGGAGTGGATGTGAAGCCAGAGAGGTCGGGGCCTGGGCTCTGTTCTTTCTGCGCATTTCTGTTTGTTTGTTTCATCTCCACCTGAAGCATCGTTTGCACATTAGCATCTCATCCCATAGGCTTGCCATGGAGGCCTCTTGCCACTTTCCAGGGAGCTCTGGACACCAGGGCCTTTGGGGCAGAAGAACCATTATTTCTATTTTACAGCAGCTGCTGGAAGCTCAGATGACACCTTTCTGGCAAAGAAACCAAGAACTGTTTCTGTGTCAGCTTCGCCTGCTGACAAGGACCCAGAAAGATTCTGCTGCTGTCACTGCAGAACCTTCAGCTTTGAGAAACCATGGAGATTTGGCCTAATTCTTCACAGTGGTCCCAGCAGTGACCTAACCCAAATCCATTTCCCTGTCTTCCTGCCACCAGAACCTTGATTTTGTTCAGGCTGATAATGTGCCCAGCTAAACAAATTTGCTTCCCCAGTGCTCTTGGAGTTACTGATAGTCACGTGATCAGTTCCGGCCGATGAGATGTAGATGGAAGTCCTTGGGCAGGGTGTTCCTTCCAGAATCAAATGGCAAGTCTCTTTACTCTCCCACTTCTTATGTGAAACATGGGTGCAATGCCTGGTGATGCAGCAGCAGCCTTGTGACCATGAGGACTAATGTTAGATGCTGGGAGAAGAAGGCTGGGACAGGGATGACATCTTTGAGCAGCTTCACCAGTCCTGGATTGCCTTACCCTGGACCTCTTGTAAGGTGATTAAAACAAATCTCTTACTTATTTAACCTACTGTTTGTTGGGTTGTTATTTGCAGGTGAACACATACGTACCTGACTCTAAGCAAAAAATATGTTTTTTATTCAACAAAATTTTTTAAAAAGGAAGAAGCCAGCCTTTCAAGGAAGTAACAGAAAAGAAATAAAGTAAGTTACCAAGGCAGAGACTAGCAGCATTACCTCTATGGCACAGTGCTAGCCGCTCAGCAAAGGAAATATATGGGGGCGAATGTGTGCACAGACGTGGACAAGTGAGTGGCATCTGAGCAGTGAATCTGAAAAGCGTGAAGACACCTAGTGGTGAGGCCACCCCTTCCATTTCCCCACAGGAAACCAGCAACAGCTATTGCCACAATTCCTGGCATTGTCACTATTACTGGGGGTTAAAGAATTGTCTCCTGAATGCCATGGTAAAAATGCAAGTGGATTACATGGAAGGAAAATACGTAAGTTTGTTCATCACCCCACAGGATTCTATGGGGATAGGTGTAGTGGACACACCCTCCCTAAAATGGCCCCCAATGAGTCACACCCTGTATGACCGCTACTATCTCTTCCTGAGTGTGGGAGGAAACTAGGACTTGCTTCTAATCAACAGAATATGACCTGTCCAAAGTGATGGACTGTCACTCCCTTGATTAAGTTATATTATATGGGAAAGGGGGTTTTATACACACACATGCACACACGTCTCTGAGTTGGCTGAAGGGAGAAACTCTTTTGTGCTAACTTTGTGGAAGCAGGCTGCTATGTTGTGAGAATGCCACATAGCAAGGAACTGAGGACAACCTCTAGAAACGGAGTGGGTTTCCTGCTGACAGCCCACAAGAAAATAGACTTCAGTCTTACAACTGTAAGGTGACAAATTCTGCCAACAACCTGACTGAGTCCGTGACACTTGGGAGACCTCGGGGCTGGTTGACAGCATGTGCCCAGGCTCTGAGACCAGACCCAGTCCAGCCTCCAGATGAGAATGCAGCCCAGCTGGTCCTCTGATTGCAGCCTTGTGAGTCCCTGAGCAGAGGACCCAGCTAGGCTGGACCCAGGAACTGGGAGATAATAAATGCGTGCTGGTATAAGCCACTGGGTTTGTGGAAACCTCATACACAGCAATAGAATAGAGAATAGAAATGCTCTGGTGCAAGAAGGCTTTGAAAAGTCAGCCTGGGACCTGGCCTGGGTAGGGTCGATCTGGGCAGAACATTCATTTGTTTATTCATTGGTTTGTCAGCTGCTTAATAAGGGCCACTAATGCATGCCAGGCACAATATCACCAAATGAGGCTTTTGCCTCATACTCCATTTTTCAGATACAGCCAGAGCTGCAACTTTCCCTTCCAGATGTAGTTGAAGGGATAGGAAGGGGAATTCAGATTATATTGAGTTCCCACAGGACCTGGGCACGGAGCCAGATACTTTCCATATATTGACTCTATCAACATCACATTGACCCACAGGTATGGATTAGTATAACCATTTTACAGATTTAAAACTGAGGTCACACAGTGGTAGGGCTGAGATTCTGAGAAATTAAGTCAGCTCCTGCCGTTCTAAGCTGGGTTTTTGGCTTAGGGAAAAACCAGGTCATCTGAGCTCATGTGGCCTACTTTGTTTTCTTGTGTTTGCACAATGATGAAAATGTGTCCTACTTTATCAAGCCACCTTCCTCCTCCTCCTTTCCTCCCCTTCTTCTTTATCAGAAGCACATT